GTCATAATTTTTGGTATAGTAGTTGTGACTTATTCACACTATATACATTTGGCTTCCGCTACATTACTCTCTCGATATTTTGTATCCTTCAGTTTGTCAGGTTCTGAAATTGGTTATTTATTGCTAGATCATTAATGTGTACGATCAGAAGTATGAGAGCGGTGCATCATTTTGGCCAGATGTCAATCGTCGTATACTTATAGGTTTGGGAATATCCCAGCTTCTGTTAATCGGTCTCTTGAGCACCAAAGATACTGCCAAATCAACTCCATTGCTGATAGTACTTATAGTTTTGACAATCTGGTTCCATAAACTTTGCAAGGGCAGATTTGAGTCTGTCTTTGTCAAATTCCCCTTGGAGGTTAGTGTTCTTTACCTCTTACACTTTTATGTTCTATGTAATGAGACTCCAATTTTAGAATTGTATCCTTCAGAAGAAAATCATTTTATAACAACAAAAACGCCTTAGTCCCAAACTAGTTGGGGATATTGTTAGTACAAGATTACTGTTGATAGTTTCCTGTAGGAATATTTCCATCTGTCAATTCGGGATAAGATCTTTAAAATTAATGAACTCTGCAGGATGCAGTGGTGAAGGATACAGTAGAACGGACAACCGAACCAAACTTTAATTTGAAAGAATATCTCCGCGATGCTTATTTGCACCCTGTGCTCAAAATGGTCGAATTTGAAGTACCAAAAGAAATTGATGAGGAGAATAATCCACTTGTTGCTACCAAGAGGACTACCCAAAGGAGTAGTAAGACTGTTTCTAATGGCACTGCTGAAGATGGTCTCTGAGGCAGGGGTTGTAGAGTAATTATTTCGTCATAAAAAGTAGTTAAGAATTACAGTTAAAGTGTTCATTTGTTTTATTTCTTACTACTAGAGGCCTTCTATATCAGAATGTCAAAAACAAGGAAGGTTAAAGGTGGCAGTAAAAATGTAATGTGCTACTACATATGATCAAAATGTCCAGAATGTCATTTGCTGGCTGCTTAAACTCGCAAAGCTACTCATGTTGCTCTACTACACTGTAAATGCTTGTAAAACCTGTTTTGGAACAGGTGTTTTGTTGAAACTATAGAAAAGATATGGGTGAATTAGTTAAATGGCCTTGTAGAAAGACCAATAGAAGTTCATGTCTAGGAGGATTAAAAATTTAGTTAGTGGCCCTATTGGGTTCCAAGAACTTATAAAGAGGAGACACATCAGGTGGCCCTATTTAGTTAGTGGCCCTATTTTGTTGAAACTTTAATTTCTATATCAGTACTTCGGATTTTCTGAAATATGGTGTAATTTAGTGATCTCTGGTTGATCACTTATTAGTTGATGTGTTGGTTGTGGTATCTTCTTGCTGTATTTGTAAATAATAATTCTGGAGAAAAGAAAGTTAGCGTATAAACGTAAATATAAATGAAACAATAATTAATTTGAGCCCACTGAATTCATAGTGTTTCCTTAAGGAATTTAATCTCTTCTTAGTACCCAAGGATATGGATTATTTCCTCTCAGGATAGAACGAATTACACACTGGTGTAGTGATACTTCAAACCCCAGTGTCTTAGCGAACACAAAGTTCGGCAGCAAATCACACTTACGGTTGCTTTGTTTGTAGTTTAAAACAATGCACAACAAAGGAGGAGAACTCAGAAGTCGAATGAAAATTCTGAGAGGAAGGTATGCAATTTATAGCCGATGTTGAGTTGTTACTGAAGAGGATATCAACGACAACCAAGCTCTCAAATTCGTTTTTTTCGTTTTTGTGTTGTGTGTCCTTACTCTAATAGCTACTGCACATATTTATAGTGCAGTCAGCTATTAAGAGAATGACCAGCTACCACTCATGGTGGAGCAATCACTAGGCTGTTATGGAGGAAACACTTGACATGGTGGAAGAAGCACTAGGCTGCCAATGGACAATGGAGCATGCACTTGGCCGAACTGGTGGGACACTTGGATTCTATCCACAGATTGGAAAACATTCGTTACAAATACGGATAATATTACGTTAATATTCTAACAAATAAATTTGGTCCAAAAAATTAATCAATCAATCGATCATTTGACCAAATGCAAATCCAAATCCAAATTCGAAGCCGTAGCCAAAGCCGAGCCGAGCGAGCGACGACGATGACAGCGCGAGGCTTGCCTTTTTCTTAACTCTTTAAGAGCTACAAGAAGAGCAATTGTATATATATCCACCAAAATTCTTTTCCTCTTCCAATATGGGACAATGTTTCAAGATAGGGAAACTTAAAATTTTATTTTTCCTCCATTTCTCATTCACCCTCTTTTTAAGACTGTTCCATCTTAAAATCTTTAACAATTCCCCACATGAATGGGGAATGGCTATATCACGGAAGTATGCATGAAAAACTTGTGTGATTTGCAAACAAGGATTAATTGCATCTGGATAAGTAGGTTTCCTTTGAACTTTCCGTAGTGAACTTATGTCGGATATACTCGGTCAATCGGTAAATTTGATATCTTTGAACCGTCGAACTTTAGTGTATACCTAAACAACCATAAGTCACACAACCAACCCTTAACCGTCTTTTGGTTCTCATTGTTGTGTTCGTTTCAACCATGAATACCGCCTGATTTCATAAGTGCGTAGAGAATTGGCCTTGCAAAACTCTCCTTGAAGCGGCTAATACTTCACACTTACATAGGTGATTCCTAAATGTGTCATCCCGTAG